ACCATGCCTGAGGTTACCCCTAGCAACAGCCTCAAGGCAGACGACAGACACATCCCTGGTCCTGTTCCCCTTAGCGGCCTGCTACAGTCAGAGAAACAGGAGGAAGGCACCAGCTATACATGCCCACGCAGACCCAGCTCCACGTGGAATTTCTGTCTCCCCGCCTGCCCGGCCCACAGACTCCTCCTGCTGGCTGACTGCATGTGGGACCCCTGGGCACAGGTGATGTCTTTCTTGCTCTTTTCTGCTTGCAGCTGCTGCAAAGCAAAAACATCTTGCACCACGCCAAACCCCCTCGACAAGGGGCCCTTCCGTTAACAGGAGTTTCCATGTTAGGAATACATGCCTGTTTCCCATTTCCCCTCTACGCTCTCTTGCTGAGCACCCCAGAAGTGAGAGTCTGAGGCACAGCGGCTTTCCAGCCCACTCCCGAGCCCTGCCTGAGTGTCCCCCTTTCCCACCATGCAATCAGGAAAAGGGAAGGAAAAGAAAAACTCAGAAGCCTGAAGATTGTTTGGAATTTATTCTCTTAAATAAGAATATAACATTTGTTTAAAAAAAAATTAAAAGCACAACACCTTGGTTTCACAGTAACAGCAAAAACAAAGTTACACAATTAAATTAAAAACTCACAAAGAAACACATCAAAAACTCACACAGCACAGGTTAAAACAAGGGCAAAAATAAAGGCTGCGGGAAGGCCAGGCATGGACGGGTGACGTGTTCCTTGGCACAGCTAATCCTCCCCTGCTCTGGCTCCTCCGTGCAACTGCCGTGGGGATCTGGCCTGCTGCCGTCCCCTCCTGCCCCCACCCCAAGCTGGACAGCTCAGGAAAAATGTAAACCCTTTACTCACTGGTTACATATTCAAGGCCATGGTGTGGCCCCTTAGGAGAGCCGAAGAATGTTCTACGGTACTGCAGAAAACAGCTGAAGATGCACTGAACACCCACAGACAGTGGAAAGCTGAAATAACTAACACAGGAGAGCCAATATATATAAGCCTGAAGGCAAAACAGGGAGGTGGAGTGCTTGGTTCTCTGTGGTACCCTCCTAGCAACAGACCCCTGCTTCCTAGTTTGCTCTTGGGTCAATTTCCTGAGGTTGGGTGTGTGCAGCTCATGTCCTGAGCACCCGCCCCGAGGGCTCACCTCCATGACATGCTGCCCTTAGGCCAACGCGTGCCCTCAGCGTCCTGACCGGAGCACAGGATGGCCAGGCACGTGGTTCCCAGTGTTCAGCTCCCTCAGCCTCCGGAACCAAGGGACAAGAAGCTTTGGAAACAGCTTCATTATTATTATTACTATTGTTATTTAGAATACAATACATAAATAAATATCTACTCATATACGTGCAATCAGATCTCTAGACATATAAATGTGTCCATATACAGAAACATTCGCACGTCACCATCAACTATGACTTGGGGTAGGGCTGGAGAGGTAAGCTGGATTGCAGAATTCTCTTTGCTCTACTGAAAGGTTTTCCAGAAATAACTACAAGGGAAGAGGACTTAGGAAGCAGAGAGAAGATTTCCTAACTTCCCTCTATCAGGCAGGAACTCCAGGTTGAATGAAAATCCTTACACGGCTTGGCTATTCTTCTACCTGCGTGGAAATGCCTGCATTTCCTAATGGCCCATTCAGGATCCAAACTGTGGAGCCCAGTGGCATCATGCAAAGGGGTCTGGGCAGCTGCCACTTGTGACCTGTGGCTTTTTCAGTTCAGATAATCTTTTCCATGAGATGACAGAAAACGACTGTGTTTCTTCCATCCTCTCTCTCTGTTGCTTGCATCGTGAACGTTCAGATGACGAACGCTCTGGGGGAAAAGCTCTTCTGTTCCCTTCCTGTTACACCCCGCAGCCTCTATGCTTCATTTTTGGTTATCAACTATCTGAGATAAAAAGAGGATCCCTCTGGGTAAAAAAGAATCCAAAAAACCTGCAACTGAGGATCTCATGTCCAAGGGAAAACAAGCCCATTTGGGGTTTTTCTCTCTCTGCCTTATTGTTGTCCAAACTTTTTCTAAAGTCACGGCAGGTACTATCAGGTCAGGGTAAGAGAATCTGTGCCAGGGCCACTAATCCGCAGTAGTAAGTATAAGCTTGGAAACAAAGCATTTACAGATTTGGGAACAAAAAAGAGGATTGCTATATTAAAAGCACATTACAAACAAAAATACCATAAACAATGTCTCCCAGACACTAAATTAGGCAGCAGTTACAGATTAGGTTACCGGAGAAAGACAAGACTTTAAAGCAGGCCTAGAGTGGGTTCTTTGAACTTGCGGGTTGTTTGTTTTTTGTTTTTTTTTTTGGCAACAGCAAGAATTTTGGCAGAAGGGGCAAAGAAAATAAGGGAGAAACGCCACGAAAGAAAGATGAGGCACAGAGCAAGCGCACGGCAGGGTCGAACGCTGCCGCGATCGCAGCTCTTCCCGCTCGTCCTGCTGAGGGATGTGGATCTAGAGAGGACGGGTGCAGTGCATCACGCAAGACACAACCGAGTTCATTCATTTGTCGCCTTTTCTGGTCTCCAGTGCAGTGAGACCTACCAGATCTCGGTGAATAACGGCTCTCTACACACATTCTGGACCCTGGAAACACCTGAGCTTTTCTGAAGCTTTTCAGAAGGAAATTCTAGTTAAGTAACCAAGGCTTTAGTTTAGGATTTAAAGAAGAAAATTTCTATCAAAGGATAAAAAGAAATCTACTTCATGCCAGCTTACCAAATACCACCCACAATTCTGTTCCTTTTCTACAGATGCTAGCAAAAACGAGTCGGCTCCAGTGCTTTGGAGCATGCTCAGGACTCAGAGCTCTACTTTCCAAAAGCTGAGGCCTCCAGAGGAGGACACTAACAGAAGTCCACCAGCCCTCAGCTCTCTGGCCTTCCCTTGCCTAGAATGCACCTTAAACTGGGGGGACAGTGCTTGCTTCATTCACCTTAAGGGTTCAAGCTGCAACTCCTCTGGGACACCACACTGAACCCGCTGTGCCACAGCAGGCAAGTCACCTTCCAGCACAGAACCAAGAACCATGGGGACCGGGATGTCCTCAGGGCTTTCTTTCTCGGTTGTTTTGATTCTTTAACTACATAGCCAACTCTCATTTCTCTTTGCTTTGTAGAACATTCTCCTTCTCTAAGGAATCCTATTTCTTTAGAACTCCTAAAAACCTGAAATTATACCTTCAGTTAGACAGTAAGAATGGCAACCTGAACCAGATGGGAAAGTGAGTAAACGTGGCTTGTTCAGGAACAACCCAAACTTCATCGTGTTTAACTCTTTTTAAAGAATGTTCTGTACTCCATACCCAAATGGAGAGTTTAAGTTCTTTGAGTTGTTTTACTGAGTAGTCAGGGTCCTTGGAAAATCCATTTCTGCTGGAATAAGGCCTGGACTAATAAGGTGGTGCTCTCCCTGGTCAAATGCACATTCTACAGCATAGAGCCAAAGGCTCTGTCTAGAACCCTTCGGTTATTTTCCTTTGCCAGTGAGTCCCCCAGTGCTCTGAGAGTGTCCACTGCAAAGAGCTGTCAGCACTTCATAAGAAAGATTACAAAGATCTTCCAGACTATAGAAGCTTTAAAAGTTATTTATGGTTTAAACATAGCTATAAAATGCTTGTCCCAACTGCAGGGTACCTAAAAATCAGATTACAGTAAGGGCACATGTAGCAGAAGCCGAGTTCACCTACCTCGGCTGGGGTTTGCTGTATCAGCCTCCAGATCACTGCACCCCGGCTGTACTGCCCAGCCTCTGGGCAGTTCTCCCTCTCCCAGAACGAGCACCACAGGGCTGACATTAACCAGCTCTTACAAATGGGAAAAGATGTAACTCTGAGAACCTCTCAGCGAAGGCCAAGGGGATAATTCTTCCCATTTCCCGTCATGGAAATTCCACTACCAACTCCTTCTTGGTTTCTGGCACTGGCTGATAATCTTGAATTTTTACATGAGTTTGTAAATGGTTGCTTGAGATATATTTGTTTTAAGCCAGAGGAAAGTGTGACAGACAGACATTGTGGCCCTGCTGAATTTCTCTCTCACCTGCGCAGCAACCCAGGCTGGGAATGGTCTGGAGCTGCACAGGGGAGTCAGGGCCACGGTGGTTTGTGGGCTGTGGACGCATCTCATGGGCTGGTTTTACAGGGAGCCCAAAGAGGCCATTTTAAGGAAAAAAGAAACACAATTCTTCCCACAGGCCTTATGCCCATGAGCTCTCCTGGTCCTGCCCTGCTATGTGTGTTCTAAGTGTGTTTTTAGAGGTAGAGATGGTGTCATTCACCTCCTGACAAAAGATGGTGGTAATGGGAATGGGACAAATTAGGGCTTGATCCTCATCAGAAGTTCGAATGCCCCAGAGTGGTCAGGGGTCATGTCTTTTAAGGGTCCAGGTCAAATGGAAGAGCAGTGACAGCTCATCCAGATTCCTCAATATGGAATGGGATACAAGAATTTCAAGTTCAAGTGAAGCCCAATCAAGACCATGGGGCCTTAACCATCACAACTCCACGCCCTGTTTCAAAGAAGTCTAAAAACAAGGAACTACATGAAGGCCTGGCAACTCTGGATACCCACCTGGGTCAGTGGCAAGGGCAGCGTGTTCTGAATTCCTATTTGCCTACACGGGACTTGGACCAGCCACCCCGAGGTGTGTGATGGATGTGGGATGGGGCGACGGGGATAGTACTTTGAGACTTTGAATAAACATGACACACGGCTTGGGCGATGCCGCTTACCAGACAGACCCTCGCTGGCTCACAGTCTGCCAGTGGAACTCCCCTCTGATTTGTACCAGCACCTCCGACAGGCCATAGAGAAAGGGGACTCCAAATGCAAGCAGCTGGCACATGAAAAAGGAGTCCAAAGGGTTTTGGGCCACCTGATGCCCAATCGAAGAAATGTTGCTTTGGAGGTGCTGGCTCATGCCCTTGGCCTTGTCACAGAGGCCGAGGGAGTGACGCACCACCCAGCCAAACAAGGAAGTGAGGCTACCTGGGGTTCTCTCAGCCGAGCTGGCCGCGGTGCTGGCCCGTCCATTTGCATCTGCAGTGGGGCCGTCCTGCAGGGGTCCTCTGGCCTCCTAAGAAAGTCCATAAGAAAAAGAGTGACTCCGACTGAAGCACTCAAATCTCAGGCCGAAACGACAATGTGATGGGCTGGTTTGTCTCTGCTGATCTTACCCGGCAACCCAGAGCTGTATTCTTCATACGGTGTAAGTCTTTCTTTAAAAAAAAAACCAGCGGGAGGCTGGGGCAGGAGGATCGCTCGAGCCCAGGAGTTTGAGGTTGCTGTGAGCTAAGCTGATGCCACGGCACTCTAGCTCGGGGAACAGAGCCAGACTCTGTCTCAAAAAAAACCCAGGACATACTGCCATGGAAGTCATCAGGAGCTGGAGTCTAGATCCAGCTAAGTGTACCCCTTCCCGTAAGTCCCTGGGTGAAGCCTCTAAAGGAGGCCTGAATTAGCTGCGTGCTGACAAGGTGACATCAGGTGGTGAAGGGCTTACTGGGCTCAACTCACAGACAGGTGGAAAGCCACTCTCAATTTAAAAAAAAAAAAAGTAAGAAAGAAGCAAGTTCTCAGATAAGTGACTCAGAAAATAAGGTAATGCAAGGAGCCGGTGGGCCGGGGATTAGCACTTGCTCCCACCTGCCCCAGACCCTGGGGTGGGGCTGCCAAGGAACGGGAAGGGCTCCTCCTCACACTGCCTCTTTTCCACCGCCTTCCTTGATGAGAGTTCATGAAAAATGAGTAGGCAGTTACCCTTAACTGCAGGGTATCCTTCTCTCAGAGAAATGCTCACGTACAAAGGCAAACATCTTTAATGTGCAGAGAGCAGAGGGAGGGTCTGCATAATCTCTCAAGTCCAGCTCAGGTGGCAGACGGAACGTTGTTACCTCAGCGAAGTACGACATTAGCGCATACTTCAAAAGTCGGTCCCCTCCCCACAGTGGACTGCAACCGTGTCTGAGGCCCTCGCCTCACAGCAGAGGCAGGGCTGCAGGGGCACCCGCAGGCCCCGCTCAGGCGCAGCTGGCCCGTGGCCACACTGCACTGGCGCCCACCACTTCTCCCCACTTACAGGATGGACCGCCATTACCTTTCCAGACAGAGCAGCCACCGCCGGTCTCTTCCTCTGTGCGTGGCCAGAGAGTCGGTAACAGTAGTGTGGTTTACAGTAGAATTTACCTGCAGATGACAGAAGCAGGGGACAAGGGAGTGAGGCAGACTCAGTGACTCTGAACACGACCCGGGTCTCGGTCCTTCCTATCCCTCTCCTCTAGCCAGAGGAGGCGTCACCCTGCCCAGCCTCTCGTCCAGGGAGGCTGGTCCTTTCCTTCCCTGTAAACTTTGATTTCAGCTCTCCTCTCCCCTTGCCTCGAGGTGGGGAGGAGGGGGTCTTTTCCTTTAGGAATGTAAAGGCCATTGAGCTGTCGCCCAATCAGTGCCCAGAGGAGAGATGTGAGGCTTGCAGGGCAGGGCCAGCGGACAAAGTGGCAGTGTGTGTGGAACAAAGATGTGGCCACATGAAAAATGGGGAGGAGCATTTCTGGGGAAACCAAGGATGAATACAAGTGTGGGTGGAGGCGTGAAGCGACAGGGGTGGGCACTGCTGGGCATCAGCTCTGCTGCTCACCCCCCTGCACCCACACACCCCTTCCTTCCCTACCCACGAGCCAGCGTGGGGGCAATTGCAGGCTATGACCCCCATCCCCCAGCCCCCGAGGATCAGGGTCAACATTCAAAACCAACACAAAACCAAACCAAAAAATCCTGTAATGGACTATGAGTACAATAGAACTGAATAAAACAGAATAAAAACCAGAGCGTACTGTGGCATAATTAGAGTTAAATATTATTTCTTAGCACTTTCAACTATGTCTACATGTGTTTACTGGGTCCTACTGGGGGTGTGGCCAAAAAAGTCTGAACAACACTGTCTTGGCTTTTCCCATGACACTGGGAGTGGAGTTAACTCACACAGTCATTTTTTTCTGACTCTTTCTTTACTCTAATGTCCTTGAACATTAGATGATTACAGAAACTGTTGAAACAGGAATAATTCCCATTTCATCCTTCTCATTTGTAGAGAGTACTCCTTAGACAAATGAGCTTTCTTGATCTCAAGTTAAAATAAGGGGCCTAACAGCCAAAGAAAGTAAAGATGAGATGGCATTCTTCCTTCTTCCTTTTCCTCCTTCACTTGGTGACCTGATTCTTTCTTTTTTTCTTCAAAGTAACTGGCTTGTTTTCTCTCACCTGAACTTCCCCTCCCATGCTGAATATATCTATTAGAAAGATAAAGTTTATGGAATTCCATAGATTTTAAATATTCATAATACATAGTATATTTTCCTAAACAGAATTTTCCACTAGCTATTGGCACGTAACCAGGACTCAGAGATACTACATCTGTAGTTAGGAACACTTGGTGGCCAAAATCAATCTTCTTGTTTCTTATGAGGGGAGTCGAGTCATAGGTTATTATTTTCACCTTGGCCATAATTTCCTTTTATAAGATCTGTAATAAATCACTCTGCTTTTCTGAATTTTGGCCACCAATAAATAGGCCAAGATAAAAGATATTATTAGTACTTGAATCACATATGACTTCTTTTGGTCTGTTTGTTACCTCCTCCATGGGATTCTGACGGGGGCTATCAACCACGTGCCCTGACGCTGCCCAGCCCAGGAGTGGACACACATAATCCAGGCTGGTCAATCACTGCGCTGATTTTAGTCACTGGCATGTGACTAAAATCAGGCTGACCAGAGCCATTCTGGGGGGTCATTATGGCTGATGAGGGAGAAGGACAGCCCTTCTCTGGAGACTGCTATCTGGAAGGAAAATATATGAATGTAATGCTTAAAATTCAATCTGACTTGAGCTTCTACAACTTGTAACCAAGAGTCTTGTTTATTACATTATCAAAAACATGTTACTTATACTTTCATTCCTTCCTTCTACTTTTTTCCTGCATTAATTTGTTTCATGAGTTTTTTCTCTGCTAAAGTAGAATCTCAGCTTTTTTTTTTTTTTTTGGTGAAACAGAGTCTCGCTCTGTCACCAGGGTGGGCTAGAGTGCCCTGGCATCAACATAGGTAACTGCAACCTCAGACTCCTGGGCTCAAGCGATCCTCCTGCCTCAGCCTCCCAAGTAGCTGGGACTACAGGCTCCTGCCACCACACCTGGAAAATTTTTAAATTTTTAATAGAGATGGGGTCTCATTCTTGCTCAGGCAGGTCTTGAACTCCTGAGCTCAAGCGATCCTCCCACCTCGGCCTCTCAGAGTGCTAGGATTACAGGCGTGAGCCACTGTGCCAGCCACAATCCCAGATCTTAAAATACAACTCAATTCAATTGAATCCTCACTGAACCCTGTGCTGGTACCTTAAATTAACAAAGAAAAGAGGTTTAAGTTTTAAAAACAAATTCTAAAAGCCTAATATCAAAGGAAATTTCCCCCTAAAATTCCAGAAAATTATTTTTTCTAGGAAGGCAGCACAACATGACACAAGGAACATGAGCTCTGAAATCAGATCTGAGCTCTGAAATCAATCAAATACTGTCTCAACCACTCAAGAGTGGTGTGAACTATTTAGCCCCTGGGCACGTTGCCTCATACAGAAATGTACATATACCTACCTCATAGGCTGAGATAATTACACAGATATCACGTGTCATGTAGCATAGGTGCTTGATTAATATACCTCCTCATACCCCTTCTCCAACTCAACTTGATGGCACTTTTTGCTTTTTAGATTTAAAAAAAAAAAAAAAGCTAATTTCTATCTAACATTTACCATATGCTAGACACTATTTTAATCATCACCCAGAGAAGACAGGCACGGTGATCATCCACCTTTTCCAGGGCAGGCAGAGAAAGGCTGAGCAACCTGCCCAGAGCGCCCAGAGTCGGTAAACCTCCGAGGCAAGGTGTGAACCTAAGAAGCTGGCTCCAGAGCCTATACTTTAGCCACTACGCTATCATGCCTGTCTCAGGTTAGTAAATCCAGACACACTAATGTTATAAATTAACTACAGATTATGGGTGGTTCATTCGAGTGACTGATTTTCAATGGTCTAAAGTAAAGAATCTTGATAATTAGATATGGGAGTGACTGGAAAAGGGAACTGGGAAGCCAGACTGCTGCAGGGCAAGCCGAAGGTAAGTGGGCCATTCGTTCATTCACCAGCTTACTGATGCCACGATGAGACAGGTTCCAGTCTGAACACTGAGTCTTCCCGACGGGAAGACAGACGAGCTCTCTGCCTGGATGGAGCAGATGCCACGAGTAAGTATCAGACAGCAGTGACCACTGTATGGAGACTAAACGGGTGGCGTGCCTCTCTGGGGAGAGAACATGTGGAGATGTGAATGACAGGAAGCCCATCCTGTGGAGATCGGGGGAAGTGTGTTCCAGAAGAGACAGCTGGGCAAAGTCCTAGGGGAACAGTGGCTTCATCGTGTTTGCGGGATGGAAAAGAGACCGGCGTGAAGAGTGCAGCGAGCCGGGGCAGCCGATGGCAGAGCGGTCAGGGTGGATGTGCAACGTCCTCTGCACTGGGACGGGGCTGCAGGCTCTGTCTGCACTGCCGTGGGTGGGAGACGGGCGAGATCTGAGTCACACCTTTTAAGATCCCTTGCGCTGCTTTCAGACTGTCAGGGGCAATGGAGGCAGGGAGGCCAGTGGTGCTGATGGAAGATGCAGTGGCTGGCCTCGGTGGCACCAGCAGAGATGGAGACTCTCAGGCTTGTCACTGCTGAGGACTACCCTGCACAGACCACCTCGGCAGGTAACGTTTTCTCTCCTCAAGCTGACAGGGACGGGTCTGACATACAGTCTAATTTGGAGTTCTTGTCTTACGAGTTGGCAGGAATCACAAATGAGCTAGTGTTTGACAAGAGAAAGAGCAGCTCTATGTTTGAACAGACTGAAGGGAAGAATGAACAGTGACAAGGGTAAAACCGATATATCCGGAAGTTTATGATACTCACTTTACCAGTATGGAGTTGACAACGGGCCTGGAGCCTGCAATCCCTGAACCTCCAACCTGCACTGGATCTCAGAGGTCGTTCAGAGCAAACCAGCACCTACTACCCACGTCAACTTGGACGAGCAACTCACGATGCCTCTGAACTCGATTTCCTGACTTGTAAAATTACAAATATAAAAACAGCCACCTTATGGGGCTGTCATGAGCATGAAATGATGTGCTATGTGTTCAAGGGCTGAGCACAACGCCTCGGTGACTTCCCCTCACTTCAAGTTCCCCGGCTTTTTCTTTTTTTATCTGAGGTTCTTCAGTTATATTTCTGAATCACTTGATAACTTCAGTGCCCCTAAAGTTCCACTCCCATCTCTAATCCACATGTCCCCAAGAGGGGCTAAGCCGATGAAAATTTTATCTGGGTCCAAATTTGGGGAGCTGGTTTAGACTCACTGTCCTCCCTGCCCCAGTCAAGAATAACACACCCACCCTTGTCCAGCCTCGCCCCGCACAGCCTCGTGGCCACTCCTGAGCTCCTGCCGCCCTCTCGCCCGATGTGCTACCTTTGCCCTTCTCTTAGCCACCACATGATTCTCTCCCCACGTCTGGCCTACGGTCAGCTAGGTCGCTCCAGACTGCTTTTGAACTTCACTGAGTTCTTCCTCCTCTGAACTTCTACAAAGTTAGAGTCTAGACTGTGTAACTGAGCCCTTATCACACCCTCTTTTGTCTGCGACTGCTTCACGCGCGCTATCGTTCCCGTCAGAACGGGGGCTCCTGGCGGCACACTTCACGCTCCGTCTGTATCCTCAAGAGGAGGTAGCAAAGATGAGCACACATCCACAGGCGAACATACCTGTAGATCAGGCAGCTGGACCTTGGGGGATCTTTTTTCCAGGCAGACGCGCCCGGAAGAGGCTAACTAGAACAACCTAAGCATGAAGGGCGTGCACACGAGGGTGGGCAGGCTCTGTCAGCCAACCCGGATCCTTGCAGGTCAAAGGCGCTTCCAAAGAGCAGTTGTGTGGGAAAAGTGAAAGGGGAATTTGATGCCTAACAATTTACCTTCCTTACCTAAACAACAGTCTTAATCTCCCCGCAACGCGCAGAGGACCAGGTGTCACAACGAAAGGTGCTGGCCCTTCTCGGTTCACTACTTTGTGCTCCTTTCCTGCTCCCTCTGACAGAGCTGCCTGTTCACTCACTGCTAGGAGGGCCTGGATGGCTGGAGTCACTAGGTCCTAAATGTCTGGTGTCCTCTCCTATGTGACATCACCTTACAATCTTCTCACAGTCAAGAAGTCATCTACAAATGTAAGGGACTCGAGGCCACCTTTCTGAGGATTTACTTCCTCTCCTATTAATCTAGGTCCCCTTATTACTCTGAACTCACTGTCTCCCACGAAGCCCCTTCAGGATCCCATAGGAACAGGTGCAAGAGCCATGAAAATGCAGGGTCCTTTCATGGTGGGCCAGCCTACCTCTGCCCGCCAGACTCTGTCATCTGTGGGCATGATTCACTACCTCTACCCTGTCAGTCTTTCCACTGTAAAAACCAGCAAATATCACTAAAGACCAGGCCTGAACACCACAGCAGAGTAGATTCGGGCTCTGTGAAATGAGCTCTCGAAGCATCAGATACAGGATGGTGAGATGTTTATGCCAGAGAAAGGTGGTAACACCAGGCACACTGCAGTTGTCTCCAGCAGGCAGACGTCTGAAAACCAGGGGCCTGGGATCTAGTTTCGATTTATGGTCATCAACCTTAGGCAAGAAATGTGACTTCTACAGAGCTGTGATTCCCCTCCTATAAAGTAAAGACCAGAAGACTCATCCTCATTGTGTCCCTTTTATCTCAAGATCCCACCATGAAGTCTGAAAGCAAGTGAGCATCTGTGAAGTCAGGAAAATGACATAGGCAAATGCATGCCATTCTCATTACCATCACTGCTGGGTAATGCTATGATATAGCCTGGTGACTTTGGGAAATATTTATAAGAAAGAGCCTTAGAGAAAAAACAAAGGATGGAAGGAGATGGATGGGAAGGGTTGAAGGAGGAAGAATGAAAAAAATGCACACAGAGCAATGCGGCAAGGGGTCCTAAGGTCCCCAGCTCGAATGGACAAAGTGCCTCAGGCACTGTTTCTAAGTATGGCTGAAGAGCAAGCCACCTCACCGTCCTCGATGTCATAGGCGTAGGCCGAGAGGCGCAGGGTGGTAGCGCAGTACTCGCACTTGAAGCAGCTCCGGTGGAAGAACTTGCCCTCAGCACTCAGCCTCTCCATCACGTAGACCCGCTTCTGACAGAAATAGCACGTGTCGCTGCCTCCCAAGTTCTGCGGGAACTCCTTCTTCATGGAGCCCTGGAGGAGTGGGGAGGGGGAGGAAGGAGGGGCACCTCAGGGCAGTGCCTCTCAGGCCCACTCCCACACGTGCAGCCCTTTGCAGGTGAAGCTGACCCTAAGTGACTCTGTCCCATGACAGACCACGAGTAGTAAATGGCCGCAGTTTACTTTGCTCTCGGCTTTCCCAAAGAGCAGCGGCACCATCGCAGGAGCTGCGTCCCACGTGCCTCCGGAGAGCACTAGCGCAAGGTGGATTCGGTGTTAACCAACAACCAAGAGAAAACCCAAGTCAATTTGCTTCTGGTGAAAGATCCAACATTACAGAATTTCAGAGCCATTAAACCAAATTATTTTGACAGAATTCTGTTCTGAGTGTAGTATAAACACACACACATATGAAGTGTTCACACGGTGCTACACATATATATGGGTCCCCTGGACTCTAGATTGATCACTTTTCCATACGACTTTCTAAACAACTATGGCAGTCCTAGAAATTCAATTATCAAAATTCAGACAACCTCCGAAAAAATTACCACATGGCATATATTGACTACTCAGAACAAACCAGGCTTATTACCATAGCTGTGTTATGTCTAGCTAGGCAGTGCCCTTGAGACATCTCTTACCAGTTCCTTCTTGTCTAGAAGGGCTTTGGGCTGCTCTTTCCTTTGAAGCTGATTGGCTATCTGCTCAGCCAATGAGCTCACTCCGCCCGTGTACATCTTTATATACTTCTATTGGTTGCAGATTATAAAATGACCAGAATGAAGGGAAATGAGAAGGAAAAAAATAAATAAATTAAGAAGACAGTGAAAAAAATCTTAGAAAGGTATAAAAATGAATGAATACAAGGTGCAGCAGCAAACCATGCCAACACAGTGCTCACAAGCAGGCAAACCGGGTGGTAAGAAAAACACCGTGTCAGTGCCACACAGAGGCACCAGCGTATGTGGGAACAGCAGCTCCAGGGAAAAGTGTCTTCCTTAGGGGAGAACTTGGTCTTTCATGTCTTTGTGGAATATACAGTTTCAGGAGGTTGGGGGTGGGGGTGGGAAGACAGGATGAATGTGAACAGAGAAGAAAGAAGGGCCCATACCCTGGTGACTCAGATTACACTTAAAGAATTCAAGAGGAACAACCCCCATGCAAACAGTGGATGCTCAGACTGACGACCACATGTTTCAAGGTATGGGAGAGGGCTTGGGAAGTTATTTCTTCATTTAGAAAGAAACTAGGCTCATTCTTGGCAAAGGCTGCCTTTCCACTTGGGTAACAGATGTCACTAGCTCTAGTATTACCTGTAATAATCTTCTTCCTCATTATTAACACCTGATTACGACACCTGTCATATACAGCAACATTCCTAGGCTCTACTGGAAGGAGCCTTCTCAGTCGATTCTCTCTACTGACCTTTAACGTGGGTTGGAGTGCAGCATTTTGAGGCCCCTGTGATCCATCCAGGTGCTAGGGTCAAGGCCTTCTAGACTGGCTTGGACAAGTTAAACATGAGCTGTGGTTATGTAGACGAGTTGCTCACAATTAGTCAGAATGTATTTCTAGTCTAGGAGGGACTTTTTTTATTTTCTTTTTTTGGAGACAGAGTCTCTGTAGCCCTGGCTAGAGTACAGTGGTAATCATCATAGCTCACAGCAATCTTCCTGCCTCAATCTCCTGAGTAGCTAGGACTACAGGCATGTGTCACCACACTTGGCTAATTTTTTTTTTTTTTTTTTTTTGAGACAGGGTCTCACTGTGTTGCCCGGGGTAGAGTGCCGTGGCATCATCCTAGCTCACAGCAACCTCAAACTCCTGGGCTCAAGTGATCCTCCTGCCTCAGCCTCCCGAGTAGCTGGGACTACAGGCATGCGCCATCATGCCCGGCTAATTTTTTCTATATCTTTTTAGTTGTCCAATTAATTTCTTTCTATTTTTAGTAGAGATGGGCTCAGGCTGGTCTCGAACTCCTGAGCTCAAACGATCCACCCGCCTCAGCCTCCCAGAGAGCTAGGATTACAGGCGTGAGCCACCGCGCCCAGCCAGGCTAATTTTTTTATTTTTTGTCCAGACAAGGTCTTGCCATGTTGGCTCAGGCTGGTCTCGAACTTCCTGCCTCGGCCTCTCAAAGTGCTAGGATTATAGCATGAGCCACTGCACCTGGTCTATTTTTATAGGTTGAAAAAAGATAAAAGAAAAAGAAAAATCCAACCAACTCAATCCTCTTTCTGGCAACGCAGAAGAAATAACAGAAGAAACGGTACACACTTCCCCGTGAGTCATCGGCTCATACCCAGGCTGGGTGTCCTAGGCAGCCAACCTTGAGCCAGTCCCCAGGAAGAAGTCCTTTAGAGACTCCATGCCCAGGTCACCCTTCCACATGGAGATGACCATGGCACCTACTATGTGTGTGCTCCTCTCAAGAACTTCGTGGAATTCTGACTCTAATTCTGACTCAGACCCGCACTAGTAGCAGTTACCCTGGCAGTGCCAACAACCCTCTCAGGGTATGGCTTGAATGGACAAAAATATAAGAGAATCACAGCCTTGAACAACAGTAGGGCCTAGCGGGGCAGGGACAGACAGGAGAAGTACTCTGAGGGGAGCCGATGCTACATAAACATGGGAACAGATGCACAAGTGAGAAAACTATTCTCGTCTGGCTCAGCTCAGGCTCAGCTGGAACTAAGGAATCAATTATATATTTTTCAACTCGAAAATAAGGAGATTTCCAAGGATTGGTGCCATTTGCCAATTAACTTCACAGATTATGCCTATTAGTGGTTGAGGAAAACAAGTGGCTCTTAGATCCAAGCCTTCTTTAGATTAGGGACATTAAAGAAGCTCAGGCTTGGAACAGACACACACCAGGCAGAGCTGAGCAGATAATTTAATAGCTGGCACCGGGGGAGCAGAAAATTGCATTTCTCTCATTCTACAGCAGATAAGCGGGAGTGTGGACCTGACCTCAAATACGAGGCTAGGACAGTGAGCAAGCCCTGGGCCCTCAGTGCTCAGCCAGGACCCTCTCGACCAGAACAGCCCCAGGCTGCAAAGGCATTTGTCACATTCAGTTCTCAGAGATGTGGTAACACTGACAAGCATACCCCCAAGAGAGGTGAAGGCTCATGAAAAGCAGACGGTTTCCCTCTTCCCACTCTTAAAACATAGTCAAAATGTAGCAATCGCTGCACTTACACTGTTGCACACCACCCACCCACACCCACCCACATCTACACCCCGTGTGGTCTGGTACTGGCTCAAGAACGGGAAATAAACAGGACAAAAAGACCCTCCAATGTCTTTATAACCTCCTCTACAGCTGGATCAGCGCTATTGTGGGCAAGAGCAGGGTTCATTCCTCAAATGATTACAAATCAAGAGGCACCCAGAATACTGCACATTCGCTACTCCACTTAAGAGATTTAATTACCCCATGGTTCATATTTTGTAACACATGATTATGAAGACATTCGAAGTTAAAAAAGCCAAAGGCTGAAAAATGCTTATCGTTATTTGATATAGTTAAAATATGATCAAAGTGGGTTTACTTGGACAGAATCTGATGTGCTAAACACAGTTCAACAAAAGCCAGCAGCCTCTTTAGCTGAGGTGTGTACCACAGGCCTCACACGCAAAACAGACACACGCGTATTGGCTTCCTGAAGAGACAGGCCAAGGTTCAGAACTTCACAACCCACTCAGGGCAGATGCCATTTGTGAGAGCGAAGTGAGCGGAGGCTGCACAGGGAAGAGTTTTGCCGAGGCCCAGGCCATGCTACCTGTCGGAGGGAGTCGGAGGAGGGAGAGGCGGGGCGGGAAGAACGGAGGCTAAGAGAAAGCTCCCACTGGTCGACAAAAAATCGACGAGGAGGTTCAGGCTCTGGCTATAAAATACAAGATGGAGAAAAAAAATCAAAGGAAAGGTTAAATTAGAAGTCACACACTGACCCAAACATAAGCATGAGCAGCTCGTTCATGGCTTGCATTTTGCTTTTAACTTGCCCTTTCCCAGTGCTTACAGTGGAGTGTGCTCTGGAACAGAGACCTGTAGCTGTGACCCACCCAGCAAAGCCTCACCCTGTCTCGCTTGGTATTCTTACTCCAGTGACCCTCTCAAGCAGGTAACGCTGCCAGCCAGGAGGCGGGAAGCACAGTGGTGTCCTGCTAACACACACACTCTCTGTGCTCTGCAGAGACCCCTCTCCCTGGCCTGAGCCAGGATTTCTCCCAGGCAAACAGACTGTACCACTGCCCCATAACTCCATTCGTCTCACAAGTAGCAGGCGGTAGAGACAGCAAATCCAGAGCAAAGTGTGTTTCTTCTACATAAAGGCCAGGAATGTGGCATCTCTTCCCTTTACTGCTAGTGATCAGAGAAGCTCTGCTTGCCAAGGAGCCAGATGGATCCCAAGCAACAATTAGTAGAAAAGACCTGAACTCCCAAGTCCTTTACAGGCTGCACACAGCACATGTGGCAAAAGCAGGCTAGGGTCTTGCTCAGTGGGGTCCCATGCAGCCAGGCACTCTCCAGTCCCAGAGAGCAAGGTGGCTGAAAGCTGCGGCAAGCAGTAACCGCTTGGTTTCCCACCAGGTTCACAGTGAACCATCTTTCGGGTGGCAGGGACAGAGTTACGGTCATGGCACTAAGAAGCCCTCTGCTCTTCCAGCTGCAAGCGGATCCATCGCACGGCCCCTACTCAGCTGCTCTCCCTTCACGGCTCTGTGGCATGTCAACACGAAGTGGCGTTACCTGGTGCCTTGCGAGCCTCTGCTCCACACGCTCGGCCAGCCCACTGGCCCTGAACTCAGCCTTTGGGGAGCAGTCAGCAACACAGGCCCCAGGGGGAGCTGGGGAAGATCTCTGTAGAAGGGCACCGCTCACCAAAAGGAAGCGAGAGAGAAGACTGAGCATCCCCCTGGGCTGACGGAGAAGTCAGAGCTCATGGGAGAAGTGGGGGACTGGGGACGAGGGGGGTGGAGAGAGCAGGCATGTGCACATGCAGGGCCATGGGGTAGCG